GAGAGAGAGAGAGAGAGAGAGAGAGAGGGGGGGATAGTGAGCTCGAATACAGCACATACATACATGTATCACCCAAAAAGACCCTTTACCTCGACAACAGACAGCTCCTTCTCCCTCCACAGTCCCTTGACCACAATGTAGCCGTCTGTGTTGAAAGCTTTCTTCATGTCTTCGCTCACTTCTAGCTCACCACCATTGTACACAAACGACGCCATCTTGGAACCTCCTCAAGATTCTTTTTCCTTTGCACCGGTATGAAAAAGATGCAAAAACACTGTAGATATCAATGCATCCATAAAAAAAATCACATACATATTATATTATAAATGTAATAACGTTTCAACACAGCTTGCAGATTTATTATTGCTTTACGTAAAACATGTAATGCTTGGATGCTCTGCAACATGGCTTTGGCCGTTAATGTACTTTAATCTGGAAATCTTATATTGCTCTGGAGTGGTTTACTCCTTCTTTGCTATCAAACGTCTATTGTCCTGATCTCTCCTCCATCTTTTTTGTGTTTATTACTCTCTTGTAACACCTCTAATCTTCAACAAAAATCTTCTTGCACGAGAATGGAACTCATGTCTACTGCAGACGACTTCAAGGTGTCTAATCGCTTCATCACAGATGCTCTGATAGAATGCATTGTTTGAATAGCGACTCGTAACAAAATAGTGTTTTAAGCCCTCATCGACTCAGTTTGAATAAATTAGGTGGTGACATATTTTGCATTTGCACATAATTAATGCCAACCCAGGCTGCACGTGGCTCTGCTTGTAGTCAGACAGGTAAGCAATGGCAATAGGTAGGTACCCAGGTAATCAACAGGGTAAATAACTCGATTGGGAGGTAGGTATGTTAATTATGCAGGCACGTAGGTACATATTTAGGAAGGTATGGGTAGGTAAATATATAGGTAGGTATATTATTATGAGTATGTATATATGTAGGTAGGTCGGTGGTGCCTGGCTAGAAATGTCTAATGGCACAGAGTAAGATGAATACAAAAAAAGACAGGTAGTGGGCAAGTAGATTGTTTGGTGTAAAGATTGGAAGGTCGATCGATCCATAGGTATAGGCATGAAGGCAGGTCAGTAGGCAGACAGACAGACAGGTAGGTAGGCAGATAGGTAGGTAGATAGGTAGGTAGGTAGGTAGGTAGGTAGGTAGGTAGGTAGGTAGGCAGTTAGGTAGGTAGGTAGGTAGGTAGGTAGGTAGGTAGGTTAATTAGAAACCAGGGCTAATCTTGTCCAAAAGTTGTCATGTATCTAGAGATGCACTGAGCTAAGTCTCACCTGTGAGGTCCAATACACGATCACTGTTGTCCGCCCAGACACAAGATATTATATTATTCTTGCGATGTGGGTGTGTGTGTATCTTGACCTAAAGAACAGAAAGCCAACTACAGAAGTGGGCGAAGGAACAGATGGTGCAGTTGGGGAAAAGTAATTGTAGAAGTTTTACTCCCTCGTAGACATTCAGAAGGCGGATTACTTCGACCCTCTGTAAGGGCCAACCCAGGCTGATAGGGATACAACATTCTAGCAGCAGAGAGACCGAGGTATAAACATAGTAACTTGGGGAAGTTCCACACCATACTTTTCAATTGGATTGTGAGACAAGTGTTATAGAAGCTACCTTTATGTAGAAAGAGGACACATCCTCCACAACAGTTTTACTTTGGGTCTGATCAATGAGGAAACAAAACATAATATGAATTCTACGATATCACCATCCCCATACTTCCAATTTTCAATTTAATTAAAAATTTAATACTGCTGGGCAATTCCTCCCCCATATGAGCACACATGCCAAAATGAAAATAAAAAGGCAGACATACAAGAAATTAAAGTCAAACAGATTTCTGTTGGTTCTAAGGGCTGTATACCCCGGGTGTGGAATCCCCCCACCTTCTCATATTCGATATAACCCCCCCCCCACCGGAGAATGGAAACTCACGTCTTCTTCGTGAGATGGCGAAGCGCATATCCGCTATGGTGAAGTGACAATTGGATCAATTAACTATAATAGATGTTTAAAAGTTCCATCAGAAAAACTTAACCATGCAAAATTCGGGCTACTTTTAACTCTGTCAGAAGCAAACGGACCTAATGTGGGACACAGAGGAGCCGAAAGACTGACTAATGAACTATCCTACACGCATAGAACTACATGAACTAGACTAAGGTTAGCAATGTTTTAAGCTGTCTAACCAAAGATTAAAAAAAAAAATAACAAAAAAAGAAAAAAAAGC